CAATATTCACCAAATAATATTGTGATCAAGTTTTGTATAATCCAAAGGAAGAACACGTAATCAAATTTTTAGAATTGCATTAAACCCGTTAAAATGTAATATATATTATTCTGATTAGTTTAGTTTCAAATTCAGTAAATACCATAATGATCAAGTTTTCAATGACCTAAAGAGAGGTCAAGGTTTCGGTTCTCCTCTCCTCATCCTATTTAATTTTGATAAAAATTAAAGAATTAAAAATCTTTCACAATAAAAGAGGTGGCAAATGAATCGAAACTAAGACTTCCTATAAGAATATAGGAGCTCTAATCAGTTGAACTACAATAAATGTTTGAAACTAAAATAAATTATCATGTATATCATCTAAAAAATTTATTCATTGTCAAAACAAAAAATATTGTTCCGGTGGATCCAGCACGGGCGGCCGCTGGGACTCACCAGGTGCTGGGTCCACCCCTGCAGCTGGTGATGATACGGAGCTTCAGGACCAAGTTAAGCGAGTTTTGAGCAAAATGAAGCAAGAGTCAGGCGCATAGGTTACCGAAGGTGATCGGACAGTTCAAAATGTTCCAAGCAAGTATCCTATGTTGAGACGGAGGCATAAATTGATTGTTATAGCGCTAGATTGTTATGACAGCAATGGAGCTCCCGAAAAGAAAATGATTCAAATAGTGCAAGAAATTTTTAAGGCCATCAAGTTAGATCCACAAATTGAAAGATTATCGGGATTCGTGTTATCAACAGTTACACCAATGTCGGAATTTACTGAATTTTTGAAGTAAGGGTATATTAAAGTAAGCGATTTTGATGCTTTGATCTGTAGTAGTGGTCAGAGATGGAGGTGGGGGGGGGGGGGTTACCGCCCCCCAACATTGTTCGCTGATCCACTATTCCTAATTAATTTGTAATGTATTTTTCAATTTCGCTCCCGCAAATTTTTTGACTCGCCACCGCAAAATTTTGAGTTTTTTTTTCCATTAATAAATATTGACTCAATAACTTACACTTTAAAATTCGACCATACAAAAATCTTATACCTAAACAAAAGATCCAATAGTTACTTAAATAAATAAATAGCCAAAATCCAATCCAAAAGCAAATGACCCATTTATGAATCAATTACCCAAAAGCATACCCACACTAAGCAAAAAGATCCTATCACTTTGCAGCATCATTACAAAATTGACTTGTTTCTTGCAGTAGTTGATTTTCAAGTTCAGGAGTTAAGAGATAGATTTAATGAAGATGTGGTGGAATTGCTTATTCTTAGCTCATCATTAGATCCTAGAGACGGCTACAAG